CAATCGCCTTGTCCCGCAAAGTATGTGGAAACAGTCTTAATCTTATGGCGTCGTCAGAGATTCCTTGATATCTGAAGTGCTGGCACATCTCTAAGAAACGCGAGACATGCGTGTGCGGATTCTCTTCAATTCTTCCATAAAACTGATGTCCATTCTGGAATAGTTGTATCACATTTGTCTTCAACTGGAAATTTGGCTGCCCGAACGGTGGATATATAATGCTGGACTGGCTTTGAATGATTTGAGGGGTCGCGAACTCTCCAACGAGCATGTTTCCTTCATCTTCTTCCCCTCTTTCATTGGCTTGTACAACAGGATTGTGTTGTACATTCTCCATCTGATTTTTCGCTGCTCTGTTTTCTCTCTACCTTCTTCTTAAGCTTCGTTCGATCTCTGGATTGGCTGGGAGTAGATCTCCTTCAGCAGATCTTGTCATACACTTCTACAAGAGAATTCATTTTAAACACTTAAATAACTAAAATAAGCACTTAAGTAATAAAACTAAATAAGCAATAAAATAAAATTAACTAAAATAAAATTAACAATAAAAAGTTCAAATTAGTGCTAAATTCAATAAAATTAAACGAATACTCAATCCCCGGCAACGGCGCCAAAAACTTGTTCACGAAATTATTCTTTCGATTTAAAACTATCGCAAGTGTACAAATCGTGACAAGTAATAAAGTGGATTTTTAAAAGTCCGAATATCATCCCACAGAGATTGAGTAGTTCAATTCTATATAATCTAGCCTTAACCGAATCTAATTGAGTGAAAATATGGTCCAAATGCAAAAAGCCCTAATTTTAATTAAAAATCCTAATTTCTCAATTAGGAACCCTAATCTAGAAATTTCTCTAATTAAACGACTCAAACACTCAAGTAAATGAAATTATGCAAATTCAAAAGCTAATTTATGGAAATGAATCAAAATAAAGTCACTAGGATCACGAATCCCCAATTGAAGTTATAAAAACCCTAATTTCATAAAATCAATGACCCGATGAAAATTTGCCAATTCAATGTTCCTAAATCTATCCAACATATTCTCTCGATATATATTAGACATATTCTTGCACACCACCAGCCTATATCTCTATGGATGATGCAAATATACAAGAATACATGTGATTTTGTGAACAATTAGAGAATTGCATAAAGTATGGGAATATATCTCTATCCCCTATCGGACCCTATGTTGATTTACACCTTATCGAACCTATTCCACTTCTCTCGAATGTAAAAAGTAAGTCATCAACACTCACACAATCATTGACCACTAATTGCGGAAGAAAATCAATGCATATAAACCAATCAAATTGTCCAAACGAGTCTTTATATTAAAATCATGAAATATGGAATTAAAATAACAAACAATGGTTCATCGATCACCTAGTGAATTGAAAACCTCGCCTAGAATATTCATAATTACAGAATAAAAAATGAAATTAATAAATTGAAAGAATAGCACCTGTATGAAAATTTCTTGAAATTTTGAATAAAGCCTTGAAAACCCGCTTGAATTCTTGTGGAATTGGCTTCAAGACCGTGTTTCTTGCCTCCAAAAGTTGTAATTTTCTTCTCCTTGGACGTTCTACCCTATTTTTGATGATTTTGGCTTTTATATCATGTTCTCACGAAGTCCCGAGAGAGTTTCAATCAAAAACGCAAGTTCAGAATTTATTTTTTTTTATAGCCATGCGGCCGCATGGTGTTAAACCATGCGACCGCATGGTTCAAGTGAAATGGCCCATGGAATCCCTGCAACCTTCTGTGCGGCCGCATGGCATAGTTCTGTGCGGCCATAAGGTTGTAACTTTCAACTTTGCTGTTTTGATCCCTGAACTTCGTTTTCTCTTTTCTTGATCTTTTTCTTTTTTTCCTTTGTTCCATCATCAAATATTGACTCCTAATTGACGTTTGGGTCAATCAATTCCTTGATCACTTGCTCGGCTCATTTTTTGATTAATTGCAATTTAGTCCTTCATCTTTCACTTTTCTTCAATTCAGTCCAATATTACTTCTTTCTTCCTCGGATCGTCTTGTATCGTCCTCAAGCTCATACTTGGCATATTTGCATTCTCGTTCTGTACTTTAGCTCAACTTTCCAATATTTGCACCTTTGGTCCCCGAACTATCGCTTTGTTTCGTTTTGATCCTTTTTCTGCTCTTTTCTTCTGAATTCCATCTTTTTCATAGAAACGCCTACATTGCATGAATTTAACGAGATTAAGTCACAATTCAACTACTTTGTCCATGTTTAAGTCATGTGTGTGAGCTAAATAAATGTGTAACACACTTATCATGGGGTTCGGCCCAAGCTTGGGCTCAGTTCCATAAAGGCTTGATCCAAACTTTGGCTCTTTTTTTTTTTTTCTTTTCTTTTCTTTTTTGCGTCGGCCCACAAGTTACACGGGCTGGCATACGCTCAGTCCGATATCCCAAGATGGGGTTCGGCCCAAACTTGGGCTCGATTCCATTGAGGCTTTTCTGGGCCGAGCAACAAGCTGCCCAAATCGATGAACCAAATTGATATCGCTAACCTTACCAACGCAAGAGTAGTGAGGGAAGAAAATATAGTCGTTCTTAGGACTCACTACAATTTATAAAAGTTTTATTTGCAGTTACTAAACTTTCAATAAAATTTTAATTGGATCATCAAACTTTAATATCAGCTGAGTAGCTGAACTTCAAGTTTATTTCAATAGGGTTACTGAATTTCAATTTAGTTTTAAAAATTATCATTCTAACACAAGTCATACTACAACGAATGTTCCACGTAATTATTTTGTTGTATACCAATTTATCACTAAGTGAGCTCATAAAAGTGTTGAAATTCAAAAACACATCTCTTAACTATTTAAAGACATGGCTATAATTTTTATTTTATTATTTTCACTTTCATGGTGCCACGTAGCCATTACATGAAAGATTAGCCAGGGCTTCTTCCTCGAGTCTTGTCATGATCGTGCACTCGATGAAAAAGCTTTACTAGCGGCATTGCCAAGGCATGAAGGTGGATTGAATCCAATCCCATCCAGCATAGGCGGGTAGAGTTCACCCATTCGATAGCGAGGGGATAATGAAGATCATCGGTAGTTCGTAAATCTGGGTGCTGCAAGTGATATTGAAGTGGGAGGACGAATTGTCAGTTATGGTATAATTACCAGCTAAGCATTTGTTGACATTTTCGGGAAATTTGGTAATGAAATGAATTTGGAATAAATTGAAGTTTAGTTGGTCAATTGAGACAAATTAAAATTAAGTGACCCAATTAAAATTTAGCGATCACGGATGAAATTTATTTTAAATCTTACACTTTTTGTAAAGACGAGAGCTTGCTAGTCTTAACTAGTGATTTTCTTTTTCCAACATGTCAAAGGAAATATTTATTAAATGGCCCACATTATTTATATCATTCGCTCCACTGGAGTTTAATAGTATTATTCAGTGTTCTAAAAAGTTTTTCTAGGCACGACGTTGGAGTGAAACACCAAGGCTTGGCAATGAGCGCCTAGTGCGGTTTATTAAATTTTTTTTTTTCCATTTTATGAAAGTCTTTTTTTTTTTTTAAACTTTTGAATGATTTTTTCTGTACAAAATCCAAAAATGAAAACACGCTAAGAAAATTCAAGACTAGAACCTTTGAAAAAGAGTTTAACTTTTGTATTTCAAAAACTTAAAAATTGCTTGATTAACTAATTTTAGGAATTATTAAGTAAACATAGCATTTTATAATTTTAGATGTTTAGTATGCATTATTTTAATTATTAAATAATTTTATATATGATTAAAAACTGAATAATATTGAAAATAAGAAAATATATTTTTCTGCCTAGACCTCTCATATGGTCACCTAGCTTGAAACTTGACCTTTACATTTTACACTTTTTAAAACACTGATATTATTCATTTATCATCAATAGTTATCATAACCGTATTTAGTTGACAATAAATGATAAATATAATAAAATTGATCTTATATCTATATATTTTATGAACATAAATTCAATGTTTCTATGTTTCATCATTTGTCATTGCGACCCTCTTCCCTAAACTTTGGTCAACAACTCCTTGGTGCAAGAGCCAAGAGCCATAGTCACGCGGATAAGTTGTTGGTCTAGCATCAATCTTTTTCACTTGTGGTGGATCACAGATACTCTAAATTACTTCAATATTTTACTAAAGAATGCACAGAAATCCCACAGCCAAATGGTTCAACAGTAAAAAAAAAAAAAAAAAAAAAAAAAACAAAAAAAAGATTGAATAATATTGAAAATAAGAAAAAATATTTTTCTGCCTAGACCTCTCATATGGTCGCCTAGCTTGAAACTTGACCTTTACATTTTACACTTTTTAAAACACTGATATTTTGCATTTATCATCAATAGTTATCATAACCGTATTTAGTTGACAATAAATGATAAATATAATAAAATTGATCTTATATCTATATATTTTATGAACGTATCATCCAATGTTTCTATGTTTCATTATTTGTCATTGCGACCCTCTTCCCTAAACTTTGGTCAACAACTCCTTGGTGCAAGAGCCAAGAGCCATAGTCACGCGTATAAGTTGTTGGTCTAGCATCAATCTTTTTCACTTGTTGTGGATCACAGATACTATAAATTACTTCAATATTTTGGATCACAGACACTCTAAACTCCCGTTTGGCTTCCTTTATTTCTCATTAAATTAAATTAAAATTTTCTCTCTCCTATTTTTAACCACACAATCTTCAATAAAATAATATTACGCGTAAACAAAAAACTTTTCTTTTCTTTTCTTTTCAACCACTCATTTTTAAAAAAACAGTATTCAAAACATTATAATCTCCAAATAATGGGACTCAAACTGGAGCTTACTTCAATATTTTACTAAAGAATGCACAGAAATCCCACAGCCAAATGGTTCAACAGTTAAAAAAAAACTAATATACGATTGCAAGCATAAAAAATAGTAAAGCCCATATTTTAAAATTCTCAATTTTGTCATCAATCAAGACTAGTATGAAAAAAGAGGAGGAAGAACAAGACTACTTTAACATCATTCCATTTGTAATGAAAGTAACAACATTGGAAACAAGAAAACATAAATTATCGTCTTTAATAGTTTCACAGTGTCGTCATGAAATCAATACTAAGACAGTCGATGAAGAAACTTGGATAGTTTTCCTCACACAAGCGGGATTTAGTCATTTAGAACAGAAAACTAGAGAATCAACCAACACATCTACATATTCACCGGCTTTTCCTTGAAATAGATTTCTGCATCTGTTCAAATAAATGATCTCAGCATGCGCTGCTGCCTTAACAAACCTAAAACCACAGATAAGAAAACCTCCATCAGTACTGAAGAACGTTAGAAAATTGAAGCAATTTGTCAAAAGTGTTAACTGTACGTAGAAAAGTGCGATATTATACTTAATTTCAAGTAATAAAGAGAAATAAAACCAAGCTGAATCAGGTTATATTTTGGATGAAAACTCAAAACTGTGAACTGAGTCACACTGTCGTCTACTGTGGCATTGAAATATGAATGAGACACTTGATGCGCCATTCAAGTCGAAAGATGCGTAGATTAAACATCAATTCTAACAACTAATCTGTAAAGTGACAAAAGCTCACAATTGGAGCATACAGTTTATGACTAAGCAATAAGAAACATTGCTAGTCATCATGTTTCGGACACAATATTTGGGCTACTCCATTAAATTAAATGCCAAATCAGAGATGCTTTGCCTAAAAAGAACTGGTAACACTACAAATGACCTTTATCCTGCTAAATATCCCAAATGCAACAAACTCTGTCACTGAAAGTAATATTAAGCAGATCAAGAAATCCGTATGACCACGCCTCAATAAACCTATGCAGCATAAAAACTCTTTTGTGACTAATTTATTAGTCCCTTCACAAATAAAAAATCTTAGGTGTCTTTTGCTTATCCATTCAATTCTAATCTTGTTTAGGGGATTCTAGCCTTATGGCATACTAAACAGAATATTTGTAATAAAAAAGTCCTTTATAAGCAAATATTAGGACTTCCTTAAGCCAATGAGAACTCGTTAATGTCCCAATTATCATACTTCCATATTAAAAAATGGAGATAAAATGTAAACTAACTCGTGTATGGGAGACATGTTTCAAACAAATATATTCTTTCAACATATTTAAATGGGCATTGGGTATATAAATAAACAAGAAGATAAACCTTAAAAGCGAAACCTATTCAAATTCTATGGCATGGCATGAGTGAGAAACCAATTGCAAATATTTTAAACTTAATTCAAACAAGCTGTGTCTCCAATAGTATGAGGTAGCTTATCTGGGAATCTATAGGAAGACATGTCCCCGCCATGGTATAGCAAAATTTTCATACTTGAAGAAATGATACAGAAAAGTATCCAAATATAATTTTAAAAAAAAAAATAGAGTGGAGATTAAATTACAAAGTATTCCATACATCTGAGATGCAAATTCAAATTCTAAATTCAAAGGGGAATGGCTCGACTGATAAATGGATAACAAGATACTCCTAAAATTTGAGATAACACTTCAAGTTTCGAGTTACACAGTTTCTCCAGACCTTAAACTTAAAGCAAGTGAAGTAGAACATCATTTGTCACGGGGCAATAGTTACAATTTAGGCATAAATGATACAAAAAATACCTCAACTTTGAGCTGGATCCTCAACATGTGAAGTAGAGTTCCCTACCCCACCCAAGTGCAAGTCTCTGCTCTGGTCTGGAACAACCCAAGATGTGGGATTGACTGCAACATAAAAATTAAATTTACTCCTATCAAGCCTAACTAGGATCTGAATATGTAAGATACAAAATGCCGCTGAGAATAAATAATGAAGTATGTAAATATAAAAGCAAAGATGAATCTAGTTAGAAATCTTATTTCGTCAGCATCAAACGTCAAACCTGGCATCATAGTGTCACCATGCAAAGTAATAGAACGAGCATGACGCTTCCGCACGTAATTTTCCTCCAAAGGTGATGGAATTTGAAATGAAAACTGCGATGCTGTTAAACCTGGGTATTCTGGATGTTCGATCAGGTAACTGAAGAGAAACCATTGTAAAAGGCTTAAAATAAAAATAAAAATAAAAATAAAAAATACAAAGAAAAGATTCTAACATTTAAATACAGATCCACTAGCAATTATTCATTCATTTAAACTCAATTTTGTCATCAATCAAGACTGGTATGAAAAAAGAGGAGGAAGAAGAAGACTACTTTAACATCATTCCATTTGTTATGAAAGTAACAACATTGGAAACAAGAAAACATAAATTATCGTCTGTAATAGTTTCACAGTGTCGTCGTGAAATCAATACTAAGACAGTCGATGAAGAAACTTGGATAGTTTTCCTCACATAAGCGGGATTTAGTCATTTAGAACAGAAAACTAGAGAATCAACCAACACATCTATATATTCACAGGCTTTTCCTTGAAATAGATTTCTGCATCAGTTCAAATAAATGATCTCAGCATGCGCTGCTGCCTTCACAAACCTAAAACCACAGATAAGAAACCTCCATCAATACTGAAGAACGTTAGAAAATTGAAGCAATTTGTCAAAAGTGTTAACTGTACGTAGAAAAGCGCGATATTATACTTAATTTCAAGTAATAAAGAGAAATAAAACCAGGCTGAATCAGGTTATATTTTGGATGAAAACTCAAAACTGTGAACTGAGTCACACTGTCGTCTACTGTGGCATTGAAATATGATTGAGACACTTGATGCACCATTCAAGTCAAAGATGCGTAGATTAAACATCAATTCTAACAACTAAAAGTGACAAAAGCTCACAACTGGAGCATACAGTTTATGACTAAGCAATAAGAAACGTTGCTAGTCATCATGTTTCGTACACAATATTTGGGCTACTCTATTAAATTAATGCCAAATCAGAGATGCTTTGCCTAAAAAGAACTGGTAACACTACCAATGACCTTTATCCTGCTAAATATCCCAAATGCAACAAACTCTGTCACTGAAAGTAATATTAAGCAGATCAAGAAATCCGTATGACCACGCCTCAATAAACCTATACAGCATAAAAACTCTTTTGTGACTAATTTATTAGTCCCTTTACAAATAAAAAATCTTAGGTGTCTTTTGCTTATCAATTCAATTCTAATCTTGTTTAGGGGATTCTAGCCTTATGGCATACTAAACAGAATATTTGTAATAAAAAAAGTCCTTTATAAGCAAATATTAGGACTTTCTTAAGCCAATGAGAACTCGTTAATGTCCCAATTATCATACTTCCATATTAAAAAATGGAGATAAAATGTAAACTAACTCGTGTATGGGAGACATGTTTCAAACAAATATATTCTTTAAACATATTTAAATGGGCATTGGGTATATAAATAAACAAGAAGATAAACCTTAAAAGCGAAACCTATTCAAATTCTATGGCATGGCATGAGTGACAAACCAATTGCAAATATTATAAACTTAATTCAAACAAGCTGTGTCTCCAATAGTATGAGGTAGCTTATCTGGGAATCTATAGGAAGACATGTCTCCGTCATGGTATAGCAAAATTTTCATACTTGAAGAAATGATACAGAAAAGTATCCAAATATAATTTAAAAAAAAAAAATAGAGTGGAGAATAAATTACAAAGTATTCCATACATCTGAGATGCAAATTCGAATTCTAAATTCAAAGGGGAATGGCACGACTGATAAATGGATAACAAGATACTCCTAAAATTTGAGATAACACTTCAAGTTTCAAGTTACACAGTTTCTCCAGACCTTAAACTTAAAGCAAGTGAAGTAGAACATCATTTGTCACAGGGCAGTAGTTACAATTTAGGCATAAATGATACAAAAAATACCTCAACTTTGAGCAGGATCCTCAACATGTGAAGTAGAGTTCCCTACCCCACCCAAGTGCAAGTCTCTGCTCTGGTCTGGAACAACCCAAGATGTGGGATTGACTGCAACATAAAAATTAAATTTACTCCTATCAAGCCTAACTAGCATCTGAATATGTAAGATACAAAATGCCGCTGAGAATAAATAATGAAGTATGTAAATATAAAAGCAAAGATGAATCTAGTTAGAAATCTTATTTCGTCAGCATCAAACGTCAAACCTGGCATCATAGCGTCACCATGCAAAGTAATAGAACGAGCATGACGCTTCCGCACGTAATTTTCCTCCAAAGGTGATGGAATTTGAAATGAAAACTGTGATGCTGTTAAACCTGGGTATTCTGGATGTTCGATCAGGTAACTGAAGAGAAACCATTGTAAAAGGCTTAAAATAAAAATAAAAATAAAAAATACAAAGAAAAGATTCTAACATTTAAATACAGATCCACTAGCAATTATTCATTCATTTAAAATTACTGCATAAAGAACCTAAGCAGTTGTAAATGACCTTAAAATAAAAACTGTACCTCTGAACTTCCGTCATTGATCGTAATCGCTTGCTTGATGGTGTAACATAATAGCTGTTAAGAAAAATGATAGCACCCAATTAAAGTCGGAATGACGTTTCCATTGCTCAAAGCCTTTAAAGTAATTCTAAATGAAGGAACAAACAATAAATGGCATCACATACGTACACATCAGCAAATTTAGTGCCTCCTTTAGCTCTGATTCGTAAAATCCGTTGCCAACCAGGAGGAGGTTGAGGAATACTGGGTTTGTCTATTGCCCAACGCCAATTTCCATCTTGCATAACATCTGGTTCATCATTACAACTTAAGTCAGAGCGCCATTCACGTGCCGTTTCACAAAAAAAGGGTTGTTCTGCTAGCCTTTCTCGTATCTCCTCGTACTTCTCCTTTGTGGGAATGAACCTCCATTTAGAGCATCTTTCACACTGAACAGTATAAGCTGCTATAGAATCCCAAACCCTTTTTGATGTCTTCTTTGAGAAGGAAGTTTTATTTCCAATGGCAGCATTTGATCGATTTGGTTTTCCTTCCATTTCTTTTAAGGACTGTGAATATCAATAGGAACCTTTCTTAACATTACTATTGTGACAATCTTGCACTTCTTTAGGGGATCAATGCCCAACACTCATTGAAATAAAGCCAAACAAGAACACAAATTACAAGCCAAAAGTTATCAAATGGCAATCCTGTCCAAGAAACTCATAGTAACCTAAGAAGCATGGATATAGACGCACAACACAGACACGATGCGAACACGACAACACTTAATTTTTCTATAAAAAATAAGATACAAACAAATCAGGAACACATCAATTTAAATTCTTTAAAATTTTAAATTCATATTTTATATCTTTATTTTACGCTTTTAATGTAGGATAAGGCAAATTATATGTCAAATAGTTGCCTAAGGAACGTCCGTAAAGTATCCCTTGGCTTTAGAAACAAAAAGTTTATAAAAAATAGGACATGACATGTGGCTTGTCCAAACAATGTCATAGAGTCTAAGGAGCATTGGTCTCCAATGCAACACAATATGTGTTGAATACAGACACGTGTCCCAGTAGGAGGGTCCATGCTTCATAGATAGTAATTCAGCAATATGAAGCAAAAGAATATAACTTGTTTCAAATCTTATCACGAGCGTCCATGTAGAAAGAAACTATATAAGAATTCCATAGAAAAGGCACAACACTCTGAATAAGAACCGCCACCATCGAGTAATCTCATAAATTAAAGTTAAGCAAAAAATTGGTTAGCATACTCAGTTCATATTTATGTTGCACAGACGCAGATATGGCAACCCACAAGCCCAAAAAAAAGACAACAATTCTTGAAAATCATGAATAGAAAACAACTAGCTCATGTATTTGATAGGCCTTTAGCAACAATGAATGATTAAAATCTAGGATGTGCGTACTTAACTCTTCTTTGATGAGAAGAAACAAATATCTAATATAGTCTCCACTTGTATACCGTGTATATTATTGTGTGCATCATCAAGACCAGTCAAAAAACAATAGCAAGACTACTAAGTCATATTAATAAATAAATCATAACATTAGCCCCTTTTTCATCACCTTTGCAATGTTACGATGCACATAATATCTTACGTGGATGATCTCTAATTTTGTTTCGTAGTTTTATTATATGTAACGAAGGACTAGGGAAGTGTATTTATTATTTTTCCTCATTTCTTATTTATTGGGCATTTTTTGACTTGTTAGGTACGTGTCCATATAGTGCCAAACAATTGGTCTGGTGTATGATTATTAGACACGGAAAGGACATATTCCTATAAGTTTTCATGCTAAATTACATCATAATATTTCGGGAAAAAGGAAGGACGACATTGATAAGTTTCTAAAACACAACAACCAAATCTAAAACACTTACGTGGCCCAATTTATTTATCATGAGAAACCTCGAATAATGCCGTGACAGTTCAAAATAATATTTTGCATCATTAAAGGTCACAAAGCCTTGTTCACTAACCAAAAAACAACATAAAATATACATGCACATACTATAGTAGCACGACTTAAGTTGCTCTATTACATGCAATTGCAGTCTACGTTAAAGTTAAGGATGCCTCTATCAACAAACATTACACAATCTCACAAGCCAGACAATAGTAAAAGTTTACCAGCGATAAGCTTTGAACTTTTACGATATTGTACCAATCTACTTGGCCTGACGTGAATAGCATGGAGTAAATGAAATTTAAAGTCGAGGATGTGTTGTCATTTTTTTTTCATTTTGCCGCCCAAGCACACGAGAACAAGTATCAAATGTCCAACCTAATATGAAGTGTCCAAAAACAAAAGAACCGGGCCTAAACATAAAAATACTGTCAAGACACACAAGACAGAGAAATATATAGTTGAAAAAAACCATCAGCGAGTAGTCCTTCGCACAGAAAACATATATGTGACACGTCAAATTTCAAATAGATACACTCAAATTTGAGCCTAACAATGAAGCACTGAGAAGACACAAATTACACGAATATATAAGTGAAAAGAAAAAGCAAAATTCACTAGCAAATAACTCATATCAAAACCAGAAAATTAAAGGGAAAAATCATTTGTCTGAAAGATGAAATTATCGATTATTTTTTAATGCTGAAAGAAGAACGTGCAAATCACACTTAACTCATGTTTAAAATCGACGAGAAAAAAATAATAATAATCGGGCACAAAATTTACGGGCATGCATGTCATCCGGGACTGTTCTATGATATATATCGGCAATTGAATTAAACAGGATCTTGATTCGCAGATCCGCACAACACATTCATTTAAAACAATTGTAGAAGACCATATACAACATCTACTTATGCACACAATAATATACACGCATAAAAAGTGAGTGAGAGTATAAGAGAATGCGAAATTGTCATCGGTAATACCTCTAATCGACCGGGGAAAATCAACTGATAGCGAGTGACAAAGAAGGTAGCTTCTTCAGAGTTGCAAGAGGAAGGTGACGTCTATCTGTATACTGTAAAATAAGGAAAAAGATGGGGGATTTTCGGTAAATTAAAAATATAGATATTTGATTTGCCATATAAAAACAAAAATATGATATTCATGTCAATAAAAGAATGTGGAGGCTTTTTTTTTTTTAAAGGTAAAAGATTATAATATTTCACCCCTTTTTGATGTACTTTTTTCAGAGGGATTTGTGAAAATTGATTTCTCTTTTTCATTTTTTGAAAAGAATATGGAGTTAAAAAGAACCGAATACCAATGGGAATTTTAAAAATGGAACCATTAGTTCCATAGCTAACTCTAGAACCGAACCAATCGGTTCCGATTCGGTCCGATCCGGTTATTTACGTTAAAAATGTCAAAATAAAATATTCACTAATAAAAACTCTTAAAATGCTACCAACGTAATACTTTTAACAAAATATAGAAGAATCGAACACATTATTCAAAGATTTATTTAGGTATAGATCTACAAAGTGAAAACAAAATAAAAATCATGTAATCAAAGTGAAAACAAAATAAAAATTTTGTATCTTATAAATGAAATTATATATTGTAAATAAATTTATTCAGGTATGGATTTACCCAATATTCTAATTTGGCTTGAAAATCAATTAATCAAAGAATTATAAGAAGAGTAATGAAAGAATTAAAGAGAAGAAGGAAAGTGCTGAAGTCTAAAGTTAAAAAAGAACCTGATTATTTTTTTATAAAAGTATTGGAGATTGAGTCATATATTTTACAAAAAAAATAAAAATAAAATCCAATGAGAACCGTCTGGTTCCTGCGGTTCCCACACTAGAACCGGATAGGAACCGGTCGGTTCTTAAAAATTTGTCCCGAAATCAAATTATTTTTTAGAAGATTCGAAATCGAACAACCGGTTCTAAACGGTTCCAAACCGATTCCACTGATTCTGGAAAAAAGTGCCCACTCCTAATAATATTTCACCCCTTTTTGATGTAATTTTTTCAGAGGGATTTGTGAAAATTGATTTCTCTTTTTTATTTTTTAAAAAGAATATGGAGTTAAAAAGTAAGAAAAAGTTACATAACTTTTTTGAACATAGGTTACATTTTAATTAAAAAGTGATATTGTACGATACTTTTTAATTAAAAAGTAACATTTTAACTTTACATGATTTTATTTATTTTTTTGTTAATTTCAAAATACTTTTCATTTGATATTTTCAAAAGACCTGTAATTTTAAGGATATTTTTATAAGCTCCCCATATAACAATGAATGGACCCGTAAACGCTAGCTCTAAATTGAAACATACCCAGTCCCTGTTTGATTCTCATTATTTTTAAAATACATTTTTTTCTATCTTATTTTTAACCACACATTCTTCAATAAAATCACATTACACGCAAATTCAATTTTTTTTTTTCCTTTTTAACCACACATTTTCCAACAAATTATTATTACAAAATGTATTTTTGACAAATAATGTGGCTCAAACAAGCTGCCAATAAATAGTTTGAGTGTTTTTTCAATTCAATTATCTATGAAACACACGCAATTAAAGATGAATAACAAATTCTCAAAATTAACCAGATGACAAGATGGTATTAGGATCATGAATCCACCATTATTAACATGAATAATGCTATTGTCATTCACTCACTTTTGCAATCGTCCTACGTGATACACATGTGGAGGTTAGTGATTTGATATATGATGCAGGGAAAAATTATTGTATTAATACATCAAATCATAAACTGTCATATAGAATGTCATGTAAAACGATTATTGCAATGAGCCACTATAAATAGTATTATTACTCTATCAGCAAACTTTAATCCTAATTATACGTTGATAATCAATTTTGATCGAGATAGCACTTGGATTTGGATTGTGAAAATTGGGCCCTATTTAATTATCTTCATATACCATGAAGTGAACTGTCTTCTGGGCTTATCGCTGATCCAATGTTTGTTTGGCAAACCAACCCAACAGTGTTATAGTGAAACGTACAAAAATAACATCCAAGCCCTCATAATAATGCAAAGCTCAAATCGGTTTAAGTTTGTACGAGCACTCTAAAGTAATAAACTGCAGATTTTGTTTGAAATAGAACGTGAAGAAAAAAAAAATGAAAAATAAAAACTACTTTTCATAGCACAATAATCCCTTCCCATATTCCTAAGTAGAATATAAAATTGTAATCAAATATGCATATGCTATCTTAAATGTTAAAATGAAAACCAACACCACTATTTCTGTAGGTGTCATTAGTCGATACCACTGTTCTAAAAAGTTTAAAGCATGGTAATGCGTGAAGGTCAAGTTTTGGGCTAAGCGTTGTTTAGACTTAAAAAAAAATCGTATTTTGGTATATTTTTAAAATTTTTTAAATCAATCTATAAATCATTTAATAATTAAAGAAAAAATGTGAAAAAGGAACCTAGGTGCCAAAAGGAAAAGATAATAATAATAACAGCGTGAGACAAGAGTCATAGGATGTTTTGTGCCTACTTCGCTCCTAGGCAACGTTTTTTAAAATACTAGTCGATACGATTTGACTGTGTGAAGCAAAAATCAACACCAATCTTTTTTCGAATATCATTCCCTAGGTTAATAGATTGAGTCGTGGCAACTTGACCTTTTGCTTGCTATGTTCAAAAAATGGGCAGGTCTTCGCCCATTAATCAAGGGCGTATTCCAAACATTCGTATTGATAGAGGGGCTGATTGGGTTCGACAATGCCCCGACATAGGGTTGAGCTAGCAAGCTCTTTGACTAGGGATGGCAATGGTTTGACTCGGCTCGGCCCTTTAATCCACGAGCTCGACTTGGCTACTTGGCCCACGAGCCACGAGCTCGCAGGGTCAAGCAGAGCCCATGAGCCGCTCGCGAGCTCGTGATTTTTTTAATAATTTATTTTTTTTTGGTAAATTTGCACATTTTTTGATGAGCCCACGAGCTCTCGTCAAAAATGGCTCGTGGGCACACGGCTCATGAGCCACTCGTGGGCTCGACAAACCGAGCTGACTCGACTCGTGAGATTGAGCCCCCTGCTCAGCTAACGATCCCGAGCCATTCACGAGCCGACGAGCCACTCGGCCCGTTTGACATCCCTACCTTTTACTTATATTTTTTCAAAAAATAAAAAAATAAAATCTTAAATTTGGGAAAAAGAAAAATTAATAACACCCCTCCTAGCGAGTTTGTAGGACCCATGGTCCTGGTTTGGCCCTGTGGCCGTGGATGCAGAGCTTGACTTGATCCTGGGCTACTATAACGGGCTTTGATTTCGATGGGCTAAGTTTTTATGGGCCGGCCTAACGCGGAACCCAATCTCATTTCCACCCATATATATAACGTGTTGCGTATTGCAAGGGGAAAAAAATTCATAAATACCCAAAAATAAAAAATCATTCCTTAATATACTAATATATATATAAGAATGATCTAATGAAAATTAGTGTTCATCTTATATTAAGCACCGATGACATATCATATAAATCTATTGATGGAGTTTAAACTTAATTCAAATATTGAGGCACACCATATATTTATTCAACAATGAATTTATATGATGTGTCATTGAAGCTTAATAATATTAGCACTGGTAAATATTAAGGGTCTATTCGATAGTGATTATGAGAATTATTTTTTGATCGTTATATAGAAAAATGAGTCCCATCTGTGAATAAAGAAGTCAAAAATGAATGTGGAAATAGTGTAATAACGGTCAAAATTTTGATTTTTTGGAATGAAAAATTGCTATCAAACGAGGACTAGAACATTCCTACTATATTTATAATACACTACATAATACTGTTTTGGAAACTTCTAAAATATTCATCGTTAACTGAAAATTAAAAATGCTTACATTACACTTTTCATTAAATTGTATATGCAATCAATATGCAAAATTCAAATTCGATTATTTTTCTTGTGAAGAAGAATCTGGAATCTAAAAACTCTGTAATCGATCTTTGGCGACATAGAAAATATTTCAAAATCCATTTCAACAGTTTAGTACCTTAGGGGGTGTTCTCTTTGTGTTTCAGTTTTGTGTTTTGAGTTTTGAATTCATTTTGAGTTTTGTATTTTGAGTTTTTGTTTTGAAATTCTTGAAAATGCGTTCTTTTTGTTAGTTTCTCAAAACAAAAAAAAAATATTTTTTTTTTAAATTTTGAGAATCACCACAACACCACCTCAAAACGCCAAAAAAAAAAAAATTAATTTTTTTTTTTTTTAAATTTTGAAAATCACCCCACTATCTCCTAAAAAAAAA